GCCGCAGCTGATGTGTAGTGATAGTTATAGTTATTCTATGCATATATACATGCATACTGTAAAAGTGACTATACGTGTACTATATACATCTTAATATATGCTCATGCTTGGAAACATCAGGAGAGAAAATTGATACCTTCGCCACCTTTCACACATCTACAACAGGCACTTAGTCACATCCTTCGCCACCCAATCTTTTGCACATCCGGAGGTGAGAAGGGTTTCGAATGGAGGACAGCTGTGGCATTGTTGGGGGCCCAGGCGCCGTGACAGGCGAGACCGAAGCACACCATGTTTTTGTTCAGGTCTCACCGGCCTCACCCAACCCACACCAGTTTGGTCGAAAAATCTGGGACCGGCTAGACCGTCACCGGGCCCTACTCTGTGGGTCTCGGTTTGTCGCCCAACCCGCCGAACCGGAGCCCGAGGTTCGAGGAGATGACGTCCCGTGAGATGGAGCCTGACAGCTTCGCCTACAATGCCTTGTCCCGCCGGTCCCGTTTGGAAGACTGGACCGGACCGAAAAGAGGTCCGACATAGCGGGATCGTGACTGGTAGGTTGTGGTTGTGGTTCTGGTTGTGGTCGTGGCTGCTGCTGCTGTCGTTGTTGTTGTGGTGGTGATGGTGGTGGTGGTGTTTTTTTCTTTTGGCAGTCACGACTGCTGTGGGACGTGTGGAGTGTGGAGGTTTGGTTTGTGGTTTGTTGTTTTCCCGTGTAATTAATTATGTGATGAAGATGCATCAGCTTCCGCCATCCTTGCAAGGGTGGTTTGAGGTTGCTTCCACCCCTGATGCTCTTGGAGCTGAAGCGCTGAACATGGTTTTGCAAGCAGGTAGGTGTCAGGTAGATGTCCCCGAAGGATTGATGTACTGCACGAGAACTACTTGCTATATATTGCTTAATTGCTTACTGTTTGGCAGTCCTCCTACCAGGACATGTTGGTGCACAGACATGCACCAGTTGGACTCACATCCACGTTGCCGCGTTGATTGTGTTCTCTCGGAGGTTGTTCAAAAATGTGCTAAACCTTCACATAAGGTTTCACAACGTACTAGAATTCATGTTTCCAAACATCACGTTTGGCATGTATGATTGCAGCGGACTTTAGCCACGGTACGACGGTACGTTGCATGTATGATTAGGTTTCCTTCAGGGGGGCCTAGTAGCAGAGTTTTCTTCCACCATTGTGCATTACGCAGCGAGGTTCGACAGACAACCACATCTTCTTCGGAGTCTGCGCCCTGATCAGTGGGGGGAATATGTCAAATTGCTTGCCCGTGGGCACAGCCTCTCTGAGGCCAAAAAGACAATCATGGCCCAACATGTCCTGAACCAAGTTCGGAAAAGAAAAGAGAGGAGAAGGCACAACAAAAAGCATGATGAGAAGGCAACTGAAGTGAATTGGATGGAAGTACTGCAGTGCTGCGGAGGCAGGAGGAAGAGGAGCTCCTGAGCCCTCACTTTTGAACCTCTCATCAGGGACCAACATGTTCTGCATTTGCGCCAGCCAGGGCTGCCTAGGGCGCCTTCCAATTTTCCTGAGCCAACCACGTGGCCAGGGCCACTCCACACATGTCCCAATTGCAACCGGCCACCTGCCCGCTGGAAGCCTACACCAACAGACAAGAGAGGCGAGGGCGCTGGTTTAGATGCCTTGGCTACTCACAATGCCATATGAGATCATATGAGGCACTACAAAGGGTGCCCCGAACACTGTCGACGTGCTTTGGGTCCAATTGATGAAAACGGAATTCCTTTAGGTGAGTCATGAGGGTAAAAAGACCATTCGAGAAGGAAGTTGCCATTCCAAGATCAACGTGAGGGCAAAAGCTAGAGGAGGAAGGAACCATTCCGACGCAGTACACTTTTTGTGAGCCACCCGCTGTTAAAATTCAGAGGTTGAAACGTACAACACTTTGGTGCGTGTGAAACAGGAGTATTTTTGGTTCGGCCGCTGCCACGTGGAGGGGCGCAAGCTTTGGACTCTTCATGGAAAGCAATGAAGGACACATTTTTGGAAGGTGAAGTAAGAATGGAAAGTTCTGGTGTGCAAGACTGTGGTGTTTGAAATGGGACGTGACCTCGCGGATGAACTCCTTCCTGCACCCTAGGGCCCTAGGAATGACCAGAAATATATATATATATACATAGCGGTGAGATGAGACTTCGCCAACCAAAACACACCAACACGTTATATAACAAACAATCGCAGCAACAATTTTGCCATAAACCGCCTGTGAAACATTTAGCTTGACTGGGGGAATTGCAAATGCACTTGCATGTTTGCATTTGTGTGGCTGCCAAACATGAGAGTCTGAAACGAAGCCGAACACATGAAGCATTGAACATGCCTGTGTGTTTGACAAGTCTTCATTGGAAAGAAATGGCGACAGCTCCATGGCAGTCGCAGAGTCAGCACCTTGTTTTGCGGATTGTGGTTGGTGTTGTGGTTATTGTTGTTTTCGCCATGGTTTGTTGTGGTTGTTGTTGGTTTTCTTTGTTGGTTGGTCCTGGTGTTGGTTCTGTGTTTGTTGCTGTTGCTGTTGCTGTTGCCGTTGCTGCTGCTGCTGCTGCTGTTGCTCTGTTTGTTTTTGTTTGTTGAAGTCTAAGTGTTTCGCCCCTCAGTCGCACCATGAAGATTTGTGCATCACATCAAGGTGATTTGTCACCACCAAGGAGCCAGTACAAGCCATTGAAGAACATTGTCAACATTCCATTCAAGAACATTTGCATAGATCAAGCCGCGGTTGTGGTGTTTCAGTTGACTTGACACCCGGTTGTCGTCGTTGTTCTTACTTTGACTCCGCCAGGATTTCTTCTTTGGACCGCTGTGAGCAATGGGTCAGTCCCCCAGTAGATCTAGGATCTAGGCATTCATTCAGACCAGCAGGTCCAGACGATGACCTCAGCTTAGGACTTCAGGCCAAGTCCTACAATACCAAGAGCAATAGCTATTTTAGCATTTTGTTTTGCTTTGGCACCAACAGCCCCACAGAACCGCAGAAGGATCAGGCATGATCAGGGAAGTGGAAAAGACATTGACCTCCCCGAATCATTATTGGCTGAAAACAAACAAGTTGTTCAGGTGGAGATGTCTATTAGATTCAATCGCACTACTTGGGTACTTGCTGGCAGACTTGCTGGAGAAAAGAAACAACAAACAGCAACAACATACGGTACCTCGAAACATACAGAAACAGAAGCAATGCAAACAAAGAAGGAACACATATCAGATAGAATATTAAGGTGCATTAGGAAACACATAGAATATTCATGAACATTCTAAGTGATTGCAGCTTGCTACAAACAAAAGACTAAGATATCAACATACATTTGTGACTCACCGAGGTCCTGGCGCTCGTGTGGCCACTTGCTGAAGGTTTTGAGTCGAACTGCGAGTCGCATCACCTCCACCGAAAGGGCTGTTGTTGGTTGGACACGTCGCGTTGGCGGGGGCGAGTTGGATCGGAACCTAGATGAGTGAGGGGGTTGGATCATTTCTTATTCAGCAAGACATGGTGTGAGATAATGATGACTCTGGTTGTTGTTTCATAAACAAATTCCTACCAGATCTTATCAGTATAGCTTTACATTTCCATATATACAATACTTTGGGTAGGGGGGTATACACGTCAACATGACAGTTCTTTGGTGCTTCTCTTTCATGTAGAATCTAGAATGTCGTTCCAACGTGGCCGGATTCCACGCCTGCTCGGTGGAATGAAGACAAACTATACACTGTATACATTGGTGATTGCATTGGATACAAAAGATATCACCAACATCTTCATGAGCTATACATTGCCATTGGAGAACCATGAAAACAATCATTGGATAATGTGTTGTTAGACAAAGCCATCACACTTATGGATGATTTGAGAAGTCCAGGTGTCACGTTGGACTTGTGAAGCTCAGGTTGGACTTGGCCAAGGCCAGGCATCAGGCAGACGAGGCGGATGTAGCTCGCGCAGTGCCCTTCGGACTTGCCTCCAGATGGAGAGTCAATGCTGATCAATTTGGGTGCGTGCGCTTTTCTCCCTGAAAACCATGTGGTCATGAGTATATAATAGTATATATAGATGGGTTTTTGAGGAGGCTACTTGGCAGATTGGATCGTTCCTGTGTTTTTGTTCTGTGTTTCGGGTTGCTGAATCAATCACTGCAGGCGACACTGAATGCCTCTCTCAAAGCGTTGGCGACGGCTACCCGCTGGGCCGCAACCTGAGGACGAAGAAAGGGGCAGTCCAGAGAGATCTCCCAGGAAGGTCTCCCACCTAGAATCCAGAAATTGGCATATCCAGACAAAGGTCCTTGAGTATCTTGTAGGATTTTGATGTATGTCGGATACTGGAACTGCGTAAAATACCAAACGCTTTTGGCTCTCTAGGATCCGCGGCAAGTTTCTGATGGCATCCCACTAAGATGCGCCACTCATATTTGCCGACTGTGTTGGGCATGTTTCGTCGACTCTTCGACGGTTGCTCATGGTCTTTGCTGCCCTGGGGTGTGCCATGTTGGCAACCAGCCAACTTCATGGAGTTGCCCAAAATCGCTGTTGCCAAAAGCTAAGGAGCAGCTTCTACAGCTTTTCTGGGCATTGGCCTCAGTAGCTGGAGAGGCGGTTGGAGACAAGATCGGTGGCATGCAGCACAGCTGGGGACCCTTCCACGGCATGTGTGCATGCGTTTTGCACGCACGCCATCCAGGATATTTGTTTTGCATTCTCGAGTCAAGAGGCTACCCTCCATCATCCAACAAACATGGGGAAGTGGAAGTGGCCCCTTGGAAGACTCTTTGCCTCTACGAGCAGGCTGTGTTCCACTTCCATCATTGTTTCACGGAGGGTGTATGCAAAAAGAACTGGAGGATGACTCTCCAACTGCAGGATGAGTCCCAGACGAAGCTGTGGCACAACTTGGACAGCTTTCGCACGGGCTCCTAAAGACGGGCTGCCCGAGACTTGGATGGGCCTCAACAACATTGAAAATAAACACCATAATTTTATAAGTTCATCCAACTTGTTTAGAATCCACATTCTGAAGAAGGGGTAAAATAAAGATTGAAAAAATAAGTCAAAGTTCGACAACCTATTGTCAGAGCTGTCATGAAATATTGATGATGAACCTGTCCCAATCACTCAGTCGTCGAAACGCCAGAGTGTTCTGTGAACGGCATGCGCTCTTTTCATCTTCCACGATGAAAGGAAGGGTGCAGAAGAACTCACCTGGTTCCGTGCATTTTGGGTCGGAGATGGTGGGATAATAAACCGAAAGATTGCAAATATGGCATTCAACTCTGGTGCCGCTGGTTCATTTTGTTCGCTGGGGAGCTGCTAGAAGTGCTGTAGATGAGTTCAGTTTGTGTTTGTTGGCATTTTTCTTTGTCTATAGATCAGATGCAGTTGCTGATGCATAGACTGCTTTGTGATCAATGGTCGTGGGGGTTTAACCCAGGATCACATTTTCCTCCAAAATGGTGGTTTTTGGCCGCCCCTCGCCGCTCAGAAACCGCACTCTTGGCTTGTTATCGAGCTGGTGCAGCAGAGGTGGGACCCGTGCCCGATGCGAATGCGTCGAGCGAATCTGCGAGCCATGCGAATGGGAGAATCGGCCGTGTCACTTGGCGTAGTTCAACTGCCTGAAGTGTTTTTCACGATCCGGCTGCCATTCGACGGAATTCCTTCCAGATCTTCCATGTTCAAAGGTGCCAAGCAAGGAAACATTCAGGTGCCTCTGCCGGCGCCTGTGCAGGCAGCCGGGTTTCACCAGTTTCGCGGGGATGGAACCTGTGAGGCTTGGGGGCTGTGTCTTCAGCTCCTCGACACCATGTGGGAGCAACAGCTTCATCCCTCCGCCTCCGAGTGGGGCGCCCCAGATCCGCGTCAGCGGGACACCTTCCATGAAAAGACGGAGGTGTGTTTTTGTGGGAATTGGTTTGCTGCGAAGCTTTTCCAGAAAGTTCCACTGTCTCTCGAACGGTTGAGAGGAAGAATCGAACCTTTGAGACCTTCTTGGACTCCAAGCTCCTACCTGGCCCAACCAATGCAATACATGTGAGACACACACACACATGCAGCTGCGAGTGAACTCTCTTCCTTGCTGACTGCGGGAATGAACCCCCCACCGTCAAAGCAAACATCAGGCAGAGAAGACAGAGTAAGTAAGGGATAGTAAGGGCGACCCTAGGCTTTTGACCAGTTGACCGTTGATTTCATGGTCGAGTCTCATGTCTTCTCCGAACCACCTATTGACCTATTGTTTGACTCGGGATTTACGCGACGCCACCAGGGCAGGTCAAGCAGACCTTGCCGTGTTCGGACGACCGGGGCTGGGCTAGCTGCTATGACTCTCATCTCTTCGGTCCGGTGATGCCTCGGCCGACTCGAAGAGCTAGATCAGAGGCTCATGACCGCTCGGAGATGGTCACTATAAGAAGAAGATTGGTGTCCCCCTGAACGTCACAAAGGGTGGGTGGATCTCCATATCCCGGCCGGGCCTCCTGCTAGAAGTGACAGGAGTTTTAGCATGTTTTAGTAAAATGGATCGCCTCAGAACCTGTTTCACAGACGACGTATCGAGGTATGCCTGTGTGGCACGTGCATGTGGTCGAGGCGCTTGACGAAGTCAGATCGGATGCGATCGGACAGAAAAAGCTGCCGGCACCTCGTGGATTCATGTTGGAAGGATTTGGTGTAATACAAACGGTGCAAAAGAATAGCCACTCCCTTTTGGGGGGCCACTTTTTGTTCTGTGTTCCTAATACCGAGTAGAAACCGGTGAGAACTGGACGCGTTTTCAGGCAGCCAGTGGCTGAAAGCCTTACACCTACGAGGTGTGGCCAACAGTTCTGCCGGGGGTCAGGTCTCTGTCAATCAACTTATAGATTCTGTGATTCTGTTCCTAAGGGCGCTTGATGTGTTCAAATTTTGAGAGGACAGATAGGCACACTCGCACGCTCTGGTACACTCGTCTGAAATGTCTGAATAGTACCTTGCTAGTCCTTATGAAGGCGTTCCTCTACAGGCCCCGATTTTTTGGGTGTGTTTTTGGTGTCAACTCAGCTGAGTCTGGAAAAAATGGTCTTGATCCGAAACCATTTCATGAGGACCTAAGCACCTTGAAAGATCCCCCACAACTAGCTGTGGCAGTTTCCATGTGTTGGTTGAAAATGATCATAACATACCAAAGACATCCAAAGTCCATGAGGGAATCTTCACACTGACACTCTTGGTGGAGCTTCGTGTGGTTTGGTCCAGCTGGTTGACGACGGGTGCAGCCCTGGGACAGAATTATGGTGTGTGTTGTTTCAAGCAGAGGTTTGCCATCTCGACGGTGCATCTCCAGATGTTGAGAGCTTCGGCGGAGGTGAAGCTTCAGAGAAATGGCCACAAAGGAAGATGGAATCCCCCCAAACTCTTCCACCTTGCAGGCATGTCCTGCCGGATGGATTTGTGCTGTTGGAAACGTTCATCGCAGGTTGCCACGGCCTCTGAAACCTTTACGGGCTTTCCTCGCCTCATGAAAGCTCGAGGAAGGGCAGAGAATGGAGGTTGATCAGGCAAGAAAGTACCAGCCAACTTGGCCAACCCCATGGATCCTTGGGACATCTTGGGACGCTTCAATAGGATGAAGTCACAAGGACCAGCTGAGAACGCTTCACCCAGAGATTGCACTCATTTGGGATCCAGCCTGCATGTGTAGAAAATGTCCAGCTTCTTCCTGCTGTTGGAGATCAATGCCAACGATTGCACTTTGACTCAATAAAGGCACAGGCAGGACTAGGCCTCAAGCTGCCCGGCGGCAACTCCAAAGACAATCCGTACATACTTGCGGCAGTTTATGATGTGCGACCAACGCAATGGAAACGACCTGCGATGCCCCCTACCCCCTATGTCAGGAGGTGTTCATACATGGAATGCTCCACTCCACCATGGCGCAACGCATCATACTCCCGGCAGGCACCAAGTGTAGGTTACGGTTAGAGGTCCCAGGTTACGGTTAGAGGTCCCAGGTTACAGTTAGAGGTCCCAGTTTGGAGTAACCTCAGTGAGGGCAAGTTCCAGTCGTCTGCCGCGGTAAGGATGAGGATGAGATCTATCTCCCTCCAATTGGTCTTGGCAGATTCTTGTCCAATCGCCGCCACTTGGAAAATGCACTCAGCCAGGAGCAACGCCGAGGATCATGCCGTCCTGACCGGCTGGCTCAGCCGAGCTTCGCTCTGTCATGTTACGACCTGACTGGCATGTTGTGCCGCCGACTCGAAAAGCTGCCTGGAACGCAACATCGGATGTTTCTCAGGCTTCCGCCGGCGGAGCAGAGCTTTTGAGACCTTTGGCACGTGCGAATGACCACGTGTTTCCATGCGACGACTGCTTCAGCTCTTTGCCTTGGATTGCCTCCAGATCGCTCCTGCACGATGGGTCAAGGCTTGCTCCTGGGCTGTAAAACCGTTGAGGCACGTGCCGGAGACACAGTGATGGCAATAGTTGCGGTGCTTGAAACATGGACTGTTGGAGCATGTGGGGGGATTCCAGCCAGCTTCCCGTGTCCACCCACGTACCATGCCTGGTGTGCCACGCGTGCTATGGTCCATTTTGATCCATTTTGCTGTTTTGTGTATCCCCTTTCACTGTTTTCACTGTTTTATGATCATGTATGATTCTGTTATGATGGTGTGAGAGGAAGAAGCCCTGAAAGAAGCTCTTGATCACTCGCATTCCCCGCCGATTCCTCTAGAATGACCGGACGAAGGGCCGACCATCGACAGGTCTTGAGCTTTTGGAGCAGGCGCGCTCACTGCAATCGTGCCGATCAGTCAGCGTCCAACTGTTTGATATTGCTTGGCTTATCCAATGCTGGGAACTACAGGTCCAGAGGTGAGTTCCTAGATTTCTATGTCTTCCTTTTTTGACACCAGGCAGTCTTTGGCCGGGCCTTAGGGCAATTCTTGGTCCATGAAGCGGGCGTCTGGTGTTTCCCCACTGGTCGACCTGGCGTTTTCTCGGCCAGTCGCGTCCATCGATGTCTAATGCCATGACTTGGGCCTCCGAGGCGCCCCGAGGGGGGGGGGGGAAGACTTGTCCGGCGAGGCGCGTGAGGGTTTTTAGATCCGAGGCAATTAAGGCCAGGACCTTCCGGTTGAGGTGTCTATAAATAGCCTTTTTGTTGCGGTTAAAGGGTGTGCAGACACCACCTGTTGGAAGGCCCTGCAGGGTAGATGTGTGTTTCTTTTTATGTGATTATTTATCTCCTCGGCGGACGTTTTGATTTTTAGCCACCTGCAAAAACATTTGTGGGGTGGATTGGTCTCTTCACTAACTAGACAAGAGGTGGAAAAAATATGTGAAAAAGGTTAAAGGTGCATTTTTCTTGGGAAGCGGCTCATGTTCTAGAGTTGCACAAAAAAAGGGGTTCTCTGCTTGACAACGAAGAGGGTGGAATTTTCGGCGTTTGGTCCGGTGTCGGCGCGGCCGTTCCGTGTAGCTCCACTTCACCATCATGCAATGCTCCAAAGTCCACATGCTTCGAATCCACAACTCAGTCGCTGCCAGGGAAGACATGAAACCGATCACCATCAGACCAATCCAGAGGAACGGTATACGGAAACAGAAAGCTCACCAGCACAAACAAATATACCCCCTTCTGAAGTTGGTGTTGCTGTGCAGAAACCCAACTAATTAGAACCCTCTAGAACCATTGAATTGATTTCCATTGGGGTGTTGTAGCCTTCTTCTACGCCGGTTGGAGGGTATCACGAGAAAGTTTCGGTGCAGCATTGTGTGACACCAGAATCAACAGTACACGATGGCATTTTCAATTGATCGTTGAGAACAACGACACTGACATATTCAAATTGAGATCCTCGAACAAAGGAATTAATATAACAAGGGTGGAACATACGTGTTCGAATAATGGAAGGTGTCCTTGACTGGCAAATGTGATATACCCTTAATAATACATCTTGAAATATAAAAATGTTAAAATAAAAACACAATAATAATAAAAGTGCTTAAACTAATAATAATATTATATAATATATAAATAGAAATATATAATTTAGACATATTTAGACGGATATAGTAAGACTAATTACATAACTAATTGTCCGATGCCGATGGTTTACTTATTAATTCTAAATTTAAAAAAAAAAAAAAAAAAAAAATATATATATATATATGATAATTTTACGAACCTATATGTTAAAATTGATAAATATTTTTAATTAATGATTATAATTTAGGATTTTATATATTTTATTTATTTAGGAAATGAATTTAATAATTAAATGCGTGATTTTTTAATATATAGGATATATATATATTTGTATAATTTATTGCTTAGATAAACTTGAAATATTTAGTGTTCTATATTAATATTGATGATATATATGTTTTTACTTATTTGGAATTTGATAAAATAAATAAAACATCTATAAAGTAACATTTATATTAATATAGGTTTTTATATTTATTATACGGTTTGAAATATATATTTATTTATTGAAAAATAATAGATAACTATCGCTAAATATATAACGAATTTACATTATATATGATAATATATATTGATGATCGATTTTGATGTTTTGTATTATTTATATATTAAATTGTTTAAGATTATTTTGATATTAAAATATTTTATTTATAAGAGTTATTTGTTTAATTTGGATATATATATATGTTTTGGGTTCGTGGTTTTATAAGGCGGGGGGCCTGGTGGGATTCTTTCGTGTGGATGTGGCGGAGAGAAATAGAGGATTGAGTTGGGTTTTAAAAGTAAAAAATATTGATATTGATTATTTTATTAAATAAAATTCGTTATATTTTAAACTCTACTACTAAACATGATCATGAATAATGCAAAATATAGTTTAATTGATAATTTTTATTTAATAATAAATTAAACAAACATATTCCGGTAAGAGACCCCAAATAATATCTTTGATGTCTATATATAGAACTTCTAGACGTATTGGGGGTCTAGAGAGGTGATGAAGGTGGGGATCGTGGTGACGGCGCAGGTGGGGAATGAATGAATTTGTGAATGCGAGTGGGAGTAAGAGCGAGAGTGAGAGTGAGTGCGAGTGCGATTGCGAGTGAGAATGAGGGTGAGAGCGAGAATGAGAGAGTGAGTGAGTGCGAGAGTTATTGTTATTTGACAAAGTCGTGCCCCTAAAGCAGGTTTTATTAGCTTGGGAAAGAGGATGTTGGCAAGATGCATTGTTTCATGTTGAATTGTTTTAAATCCTACGTTTAGCTTGGGGAGTGGTTACCCTCATCGTGATAAACCTGGGTGCTCCGACTTGCAAATCGGCATTCCTGTACCCAGACACAGACGCTAGCAAGAGGCAGGCCTTGTGTTTATGGCTGCAGTGGAAAACTTCTATGTAGCTACTATAACGCGTTTCAATGACTCTGGCTAGGCATGGACGGGTTAGAAGACAGCAGTTTCATGTCCAGGGACGCTTAGGGCAAAGCAGGGGACCAATGATGTGCAGAATCAGATGCCATGATGCAAGTTGTTTCCTTCTTTTTTGCTTTCTTTCTTTGGCATGGCGTCGACGCCTCGCAAGCGGCTGTGCTTGGAAGCTTCTCCTTTGTCATCTCAGAAGGCTGCTCCTATTAATCAGGGCAGTCATGGAATCATTTTGGAAGACCTTGACCCAATTTCTTTCCATAGACGCTGTCAATTAGACTACAGTGAGAAGTGGGGCTATGGAAGTGGCTCTAGCTAGAAGAGTGTTATTTTGCTTCTGCTAGCACTCTGAATGGTTTGATGTTGGCAGGTGTCGTTCTGATAGCACTGTGTGTCTGTGCAGATCCCACGTCGAGAACTGCAAGAGAAAGCAGAAGCTCCAGATGCTTGCCAGCTGAAGCGCTGTGGGTTTGAAGCCTCCTTTATCATCATTTACTTTGTGCAAAGTTGTGTCATCCAACCGTTTGATTTCAATTTTTGTTTTGGAAAGATGTGGGGCATTCAAAAAGTGATACATTCAACGTTCGAAATGAATCTTGCATTGAGGAAATGCCTCAAGAACAGCTGGCCCAATACCTTCGCTGGAAACATGTTGATGTGTTCTCTCGACTGGACAAGTTGTCTTGGGAAGCCAAGCAAGTTGATGAGCATGATGAGAAGCCCAAGCATGTCATGAGCAAAGGCCAAAGCTCCTGTGGAGTCGACCGAGTGCGCGTTCTGTGGTGCGCGAAAGCATACTCACAAGTGGTTGTACAGGGCTGGCAAGAAAGGACTTCGGCGCTGCAATGGCAGCACTTGTGCAGCTTGCTACCGTTCGGCCATTCTCCTAGGTGTTTCACGCTCCAAAGCTTTGATTGAGAATAGCGGGGCCATTTCTATTTTCAAGGTGCTGAGCAGTCGTGTTCGCCGTAACTTTGGCGATGAGGATGTTTGTGAGTGTGCTGAATGCAAGCCAAAGACGTAGTTCTCAAGGGTTTCTTGTGTCTAAGTGTGAGCACTTGCCGACACTGCTTATGGGGAAAATGCTTCTGCAGAACGGCTTGGAAACGTGTTTTTTCAACCAGATCCAACATACAAGGGTCACCGCATCACATGGAGGTTTGTCATATGGGTCTACATACCACACAGGCCCTGGCAGAGTGGCGCATGTTTCTTATCATCTCCACGCTTTTCACAGAACATCTTCCTTGTTTCACATCCAAACTTGCTTCACATCCACATTTGCTTTCCCGGTCAGAGAGTGTCCTGAGAAGATCTCATGCAAGTTGTGCTCGCCCCGCTGCCTTTTCCACGTTTGTAGTGGTTTGTGGGAATGCCGCCAAAAGAGTTTCTTCCTTCCGCGAAAGTCGCGCGGCTATCCTACTCCAATTTGATTTGTGCCTTAGATGCTTGGGGAGTAGAATACAGCTCTAGCGACAGGGAGCTGGCACTCAGGGCAAAGCTTGATGAAGCCATAGCAGCTGCAATAGAGAAGAAGAAAGGGAAGCACTGTGGGGGTGCTTCTGGTGAGACTGCTCCGAGCAAGGCAGCTGAGCCTCCTAGTATCCTGGTAGGAGAGAACAATGGTTTTTGCAACAAGTTATGCGGGAGTCATTCTAAGTCCCTTGCATAGAGACAGGCTTTAGAATGGACATGTCAGAAAGATAGGCGCACTGCTACTACTACTACTACTACAACAACAACAACAACAACTACTACTACTACCACCACTACCACTACTACTACTACTACTACTACTACTTCTACTACTACTACTACTACTGTTGATGTTGTAACATGGATGGGCAGTGCCTCACCTAGAGGAAAGTCGGACCTCGTTTCGACCTCGGTGGGACCTCGTTCCCGCTCCCACTTTTTCCAACCAAAAAGCTGTATTACCTGGAATTTTGTTTTCAAAGGGCTTCTCTCGCCTGTGGACGCATCCGCTGTCATTGGCGATCCTCCTTTACCACCTCCATCTACTCCACCGCCTCTCGAGCTTCTTCAGAGATTAGCTGCGGCAGCAGAGTCACATGAGCGACCCAAGACATGCGTGCCTAGGCATGACATGGACCCAGAAGATCAAACCGTTTCTTTGCCTTCCTCATCAGCAGAAACCCTAACATAGATTGCAAGAAGGAGATTTCTGGCCAGAACCGGTCAGCTCTACCTACCTACTGCCGCGCTTGCTTTGCGGCTGAGAAAGCTTTGAGTGCATGCCCATCGCGAGTTGTCGGAGAGTCGCTTTGCGTTTTGTGTGCGGTGGAGATCTCGAGTGACAACAAGTCACCTGTGCCTAAATGTTGTTTCGAGTGCTACGAACAGCAAAGCGCAGTCGAAGACGCCCTTACGGCTGAGCAAATGGACCCCCAGGCTGACGACGCCAAATTTGCGGAGACCAAGACTCCGCCGCCCGCCTTTGAAAAAGACACACCTGCCAGTGAGAAAGAACTTTTGACAGAAGTTGCGTGCCCTGAGCTTGGCTGGGCCAAGCGCAAGCGGGAAAGTGAGATGTCGTGGTATGCCCGCATACAGGCATTTCGGCACGGCAGTGAGAAGAAAAAGCAGAAGTTCTACCATGAGCAGTGGAGCGGATTCGATCAGAAGCACAAAGAGCGTTTTCGGAAAGAGATAGAAGCCAAATTGTTTCCAGAACAACCAGTGTTTGCTCCAAAGCAG